TGGGAGTCTGGGACACTTGTGGAAGAAGGTGGGGGTCAGACCATCCCTGATCCCTGGGAATTCCCTGCCCTGGGGGGTCTGAGATTCCCAGAAAACCCCTCTGGGTGACACCAGGGCTGGGAAAGGCTGGGATTGTTCCCTGGACGGGCTCCAGAGCAGCTCTGGGTGGGCTCAGGAGAGCCCAGAGATGGGCCAGGCTCAGCCAGGACCAGCAGTCCTGATCCCACTGCTGGGTTTGGGGGATCCAGCCCAGCCTTGGACACTCCCAGGGATCCAGGGGCAGCCACAGCTTCTCTGGGAAATCCATCATAGGGCCTCCCCACCCTCCCAGACAGGAATTCCTTCCCAATATCCCACTTAAATCCTCCCCCTTTCCCCGTGGGAAGCCATTCCCTGTGTGCTGTCCCTCCATCCCTTGTCCCCAGTCCCTCTCCAGCTCTCCTGGAGCCCCTTCAGGCCCTGGAAGGGGCTCCAAGCTCTCCCTGGATCCTTCCCTTCTCCAGGGGAACATTCCCAGCTCTCCCAATCTGGCTCCAGAATCAAGGAATCCTGGAATGGTTTGCATTGGGAAGGGGCATTAAAGCCCATCCCGTCCCACCTTTCCATGGGCAGGGACACCTCCCACCATCCCAGGGGGATCCAACCTGGCCTTGGACACTCCCAGGGATCCAGGGACAGCCACAGCTCCTCTGGGAAATCCATTCCAGGATCTCCCCACCCTCGCAGCCAGGAATTCCTTCCCAAAATCCCACCTAAATCCCCCCTTTCCCAGTGGGAAGCCATTCCCTGTGTGCTGTCCCTCCAGCCCTTGTCCCCAGTCCCTCTCCAGCTTCCTGGAGCCCCTTCAGGGGCTCTCCCTGGATCATTCCCTTCTCCAGAGGCATCTCCCACCTCCACGTTGCTCCAACCCCCATCATTGGCCACTCCCCTGGATGGGGATCCTGCTAGGGGAATGGGATCAGTGGGAATGATCCTAATCCCGGATTCCCGGCCCCTTTCCCTGCCCGCAGGACCTGGACGTGAGCACCCTGCACCGCACGGAGCTGGAGGTGAAGCTCAAGGGGCTCCAGGAGCTGATGGAGCTCAAGAAATCCATCTACGAGCAGGTGAGACCCCCCCAAGCCATTCCCACTCCCCCAATCCCACATTCCCAGCCATTCCCCATTCCCCCAATCCCACATTTCCAGCCATTCCCGCTCCCCCATTCCCAGCCATTCCCAGCCATTCCCAGCCATTCCCGTTCCCCCAATCCCACATTCCCAGCCATTCCCAGGCATTCCCTGCTGCCCCAATCCCACATTCCCAGCCATTCCCTGTTCCCCTAATCCCACATTCCCAGCCATTCCCAGCCATTCCCAGCCATTTCCCCAGTCCCACACTCCCAACCATTCCCTGCTCCCCCAATCCCACATTCCCAGCCATTCCCACATCCCCAATCCCAAATTCCCAGCCATACCCAGCCATTCCCAGCCATTCCCAGCCATTCCCGCTGCCCCAATCCCACATTCCCAGCCATTCCCTGCTCCCCCACTCCCACATTCCCAGGCATTCCCAGCCATTCCCAGCCATTCCCAGCCATTCCCTGCTCCCCCAGTCCCACATTCCCAGGCATTCCCATCCATTCCCAGCCCTTCCCATCCATTCCCGTTGGGCAGGAGCTGCAGGAGCTGCTGTCGGAGCTGAAGGACATCTCGGTGGTGCTGGGCCTGGAGAGCTGCTGCCGCCTGGACCTGGCGCGGGTGGTGGAGGACGTGAGGGCCCAGTACGAGAACCTGGCCCGGCACAGCTGGGACGAGGCTGAGGCCCTCTCCAGGAGGAAGGTCTGGGAATGCTGGGAGCACACTGGGAACAAATGGGATAGACTGGGAAGGGCTGGGATAGACTGGAAATCAGCTTGGGAAGGGCTGGGAGCAGACTGGGAAGGAGAGGGATCAGACTGGGAAGGGCTGCAATAGACTAGGAAGGAGAGGGATCAGAGTGGGAAGGACAGGGATCAGATTGGGAAGGGCTGAGATAGACTGGGAAGAGCAGGGATCAGCCTGGG